ATCTCTGGAATGATGTAAAAACGAGCGTTCTTGCTCATTTTGCTTCCGAGAAACATGCGAAACGGGACGGAAAACATGAAATTTTGCAATAATCTAGCTCCACCCTTGCACAAAACGACGATCATTTTTCTAATTTCATAGATAACAGAAGACTGTATTTTTTCTACATAACTGCACTTAAGCACCCCTATCGATTCCACATTGCAAACGCTCCGCATGTGGGTGCGATTTTTGGACGGTGTGGATTTATTGCCAGTGGAAGTGTGCGGATAATTACACGATCACTACCAAAAATAGTGGCGACAACCATTTTTGCTAATTGAACGCGCTCTTCCCATATATGTAAATAGTAAACAAAGCGCGAAGAGTTTTCGCCCGACACGTTAAAATCAACACGCTCCCAAGTCAATGTCGCTTCATTAGCTGGTCGTTGTCACCTACCCATCAACATCACACCATCATCGTCAAAATTCCCAGTATGCAAAAGGGCCCCAACTCCCGCAAGAAGAACAAGGACACCTTTGTTACCATCGTGCTCACAGAGTCCACCTCCAGTCTACTGAACTTAGACCTGCCGCCATTGGAGCGGACCCATCCGGACGACTCTCGGCTGTGCATCATCACCGAGAAGGAGTTGAGGGCCCTCAAGCGGCCGGATCCCAAGCCTGGCCCCTCCCAGCGACATCTCCAGATCGGCTCCGACGTCGGCCTCTTCACCACCAGCAATTGCTCTTCGAACAGCGAGCTGTGCGAATCATCAAGCGCCAGCATCAGCGCCAACGCCTCTTCTGAGGCTCACATGGAAAAGGCGGCGGTAGTGCCACATCCGCTGGTGTCGGTGCGCAGCAAAGCCCATGCAGATAAGCTGCGCCTGGATGGGAGCAGCCTCTTGGTATCCATGCTGGAAGACGACTCGCGGCTGTCCGGGGATCTGATTTGCCGCATCTGCCACGGTGGGGAGAGCATCGACGATTTGCTCACGCCCTGCCGGTGTCGTGGCACCATCGCATTGGTGCACCTCAAGTGCCTGGAGCGGTGGCTCAAAGAGTCCAATCACAGTACCTGCGAGCTGTGCCAGCACCATTTCCGAGTAATCAGAGAGCCGCAGTTCAGCGTGCTCTGGTCTATCCTGATGTTTTTGCGCCACCCCGGGCTCCACCTGAAGGAAATCGTGCTCGACCTGGTGGCGTTCAGCATCTACACGCCCTCAGCGGTGGCGTCCACCTACATGCTGATGCTGATATGCGAAGCTCTGGTCAAGAACAACATCGTCACCACCGGCTCCCTCTCCTCACACATCATTGCCTTTTCTGCCGTCTTCGGCATGGCCGCCATCGACTTCACCTACTCCTCCTGGCTGATTGTCTCTCTGCAGCGCCACGTCGACGCTTGGAGGGAGTGGTACGGCGCCCATTCGCGCCTCAGAGTCGTCCTGCCCAAGACTAAGATGCGGCCTGCCAGGCACAAATAGCGTGCGTGCATGCGAAAAGCCGGCCGCAAGTTGTGTGCGACCTTGCCGCATGGGATGTGAATAATCGGTTCCTTGTAGGGCAAGTTTCTCTGCCCACCTGTGACTCACTTTTTTGCATAATCAAGTCGTTGATGGATGTGTGGGCAAACAAAGGCCTCGCATCAGATTAGGCGAAGGGCCGTATACCGGCCCGGCCTTGGCTATGCAGATTTTATCGGCTTCTACTACAACTTTAGCCCAGTCTATGCAGTTATTATAAGAGACTATAGTTGACACGCCGAACAGATGCAGTAATAAAAATGCGTGCACAGAGCATCAGGGGTTGCTATTGCGTATAGACGAGGCGATTTATCCTCGTTTTAAATAAAAACATAAAACTATTGGGATGTTTAAATGTCATATTGTTAATGGACACTGTAAATTTTTAAATATTTCACAAATATGTTACAGAACAATGGAACACATTGTTAACACACACAATATATTATTTCTTAAAACTAAATGTCAGAATCCGATGATGAAGTGTTTTCATCTAAATTTATTACAAGCGGTTGGACCTCAATTTCCAGCATAGCATCCATCGTCCACATGCGCTTTTCTTCTTTGATAATATGACCAACAGCTTTTTTTCCAATTTTGTGGAGTCACATTTTGCACTATTTTGTTTAGTGGTTTATTCGAATAGTAAAATTATTCGAATATTCAAATATCAAACGAATATTCGAGTGTGGGGCGCTCGTTTATACTTAGTAACAAGTAAACATGAACTACTATAAAAACATATATTTACACTCCCAAACGGTAGACAATGTGTAATGGCAGTTCGTCAGGTGGTCGATCGAGAGAATACATCTGAAATC